CGAAGGAAGCATCAAAAGCAGAAGGAATACACAGTCATTACACCAAAAAGAATTGGTTGACGTTCAGCCGTTTAAAGAAATAGCATATGATCAGCAACCAATAGTACTGAAGGAAAGCCCAAGGCAATGGTGAAGAACAAGGCTCCGGGAACTGACGGAATATCAACTGAGATGTTTCAACAAACGGACGCAGCGCTGGAAGTCTATGCCAAGAAATTTGGAAGACAGCTACCTGGCCAACTGACTCCAGAAATTACTGGACAATGTCGTTAATATCATATGCAAGTAAAATTTTGCGGAGATCATTCAAAAGCAGCTGCAGCAGTATATCAACAGGGAACTGCCAGAAATTCAGGCCAGATTCAGAAGAGGACATGAAACGAGAGATACTATTACCGAAGTCAGATGGATCCTGGCTGAAAGAGGAAACCAGAAAAATGTTTAGCTGTGTTTTACTGACAACGATAAGGCATTCGACTGTGTGGATCATAACAAATTATGGATAACACTGTGAAGAATGGGAATTCCAGAACACTTAATTGTGCTCATGAGGAACCTGTACATAGACCCAGAGGCAGTGGTTCAAACAGAACAAGGGAATATTGCATGGTTTAAAATCAGGAAAGGTGTGTGTCAGGGTTGTATCCTTTCACCATACTTATTCAATCTGTATGCTGAGCAAATAATCTGAGAAGCTGGACTATATGAAGAATGAGGCATCAGGGTCGGAGGAAGACTCATTAATGAGGGATATGCAACTGACACAACCTTGCTTGCAGAAAGTGAAGAGGACTTGAAGCACGTACTGATGAAGATCAAAGACTACAGCCTTCAGTATGGATTGCACGTCAACATAAAAATCTTCATAACTGGCCCAATAAGTAACATCATGATAGAGAAAGGATTGAAGTTGTCAAGGATTTCATTTTATTTGGATCCGCAATTAAAATCCATGGAAGCAGCAGTCAAGAAATCAAATGACGCATTGCATTTGGCAAATCTGCTAAAGCAAAGATGTCACTTGGAGGACTAAGGTGTGCCTGACCCAAGCCATGGTGTTTTCAATTGCCTCATATATATATGAAAGCTAGACAATGAATAATGAAGACTGAAAAAGAATTAATGCCTTTGAATTATGGTGTTGGCAAATATTGAACCTACCATGGGCTGCCAAAACAATAAATCTCTCCTGGAAGAAGTACAACCAGAATGCTCTTTAGAAGGATGGTAAGACTTCATCTCATGTACTTTGGACAAGTTGTCAGGAGGGATCAGTCCCTGAAGGACATCATGTTTGGTAAAGTACGGGATCAGCAAAAAAGAGAAAGATCCTTAACGAGATGGACTGACGTAGTGGTTGCAACAATGGGCTCAAACATAACAATCATGAGGATGGCGCAGGACTGGATGATGTTTCATTTTGTTGTTCATAAGGTCTCTGTGATTTGGAACTGACTCGAAGTCACCTAACAACGACAACATTCACGTAGTTCTTCCATCTCTGCCTTCTCAGGGCACTCCTGATTCTCCTTTCAGTCACCAATTGTACTGTGTGTTCTTCTTAGGGCACTTTGGTCCTTTTTTATTATTTACTTTTTCTCTTTTTGAATTAAAAAAGCAGAACATTTAAAATATTCCATTTGGTTATGAATTCAGAATCACTGTAGATCACATGAACTTGGTCTGATTCTACAGAGCTCTTCTAAAAACCAGTAAGACTAGTTTGACTGTATTATTTAATGAGCATATCCTAATCTTGGAGCCCTGGTGGCGCAGTCGTTAACAGCAATGCCTGCTAACCAAAAGGTCGGCAGTTCAAATCCACCATGCACTCCTTGGAAACCCTACAGGGCAGTTCTACTCTGTCCTATAGGGTCGCTGTGAGTCAGAATTTACTTAATGGCGACGGCTTTGGTGTTTTGGGGGGGGGGTCCAAATTTTGAATATTGGCTTTAATCTGACAAGGATGCTATCCACAAAAAGTGTGAAGAAAAAGCTGAGGGTGCAGAATTCCAAACCTTTACAGGTACAGAAATGAAAATGACCTGAAAAATAGCTGTCAGAATGTTTAAGAGTTCCATATGGAAAAAGTATTCTATTTATTTTTTGTGTGCCCAAGAGGCAAGACAGAGATTCAATGGCGGAGATTTCTAGATAAAGAAGTCTGCACTAAGAATATAATGTTTAAAGAACAGGAAGTTGAATCATGTTTCATTGTTTACTTTTATAAAATGTCAGCCATTTGACAAGATTCAGCCAAGAGAAGCACCAAGGATCTCACCACCGTCTTCCTGACTCTCTACAGAGAATTGTGGTGCAGATGAGGTCACCACACGTAAGAAAAATCGAAAACAAAAACCCTTTCTATTTCTGAGAAAGACCTCCAGTGGTTACTGCAGGGCCGCTCTTCTTTCACTCACCAAGCATCTGAAAATTCCATTTCATCATTATCTTTTTATTTTCACTCATCCCACAATCATTAAAAGACTACCTGCTCTGTGACAGGCCCTGTTCTTTGTGCTGGTGATACAAGATGAACCTGATGTGTGGTAAGTCATTAGTTCACCCACTAATTCTTTGCTTCAAGTGTCTGTGGGTCTTCAGTGTGAGAGACACAGAGAGAAGCAGAAACGAAGAAGCATAAGCTGTACTCCAAGAAGCTCTATACGGTGTGAGACAGAGCAAAACCAGTGCTATACTAGGGGCCAAATAAGCATACCAGGATAGTAAAGAGACAGGGCAGTTGGGGTGATGACAGAAGGTTCCTAGAAGTGGTGGCCTTATAGAATCTTCACGTAAAGTTAAACAGAAGGAAATGTATTTTAGACAAGTGACGTGCAAATACAGATGTTAAGCAGAAAAGAGACAATTAGATGCTGAGTTTAAAAACATACATTCTGCTGGCAGTAGTGAAGTGGCTAAAGAATACTAATATGACAAGATAAACTCTTTGGAGACTACTGCAGTGATTATAAGATATTTGGGACTTAAGCCCGGGAAAGAGACTTTTGCTGGAAATGTGGACATGTGGGAGATGACTGGGTTCGTGGTTGAAGCCAAGAACATAGGTGACTATAGCATATTTTCAAAGAAGTGTAAACATGAAGATTGTGGAAAGAGCTAAAAAATAGCTAGAAGAGGAGTTCAATCAGGTTGGAGAGATTTGACACTAAGGGCAAACAGGAAAGAGAAATATTGAAGAAACTGGAGAGAGTAAAAGACTGATGGTGTGATGATCAGAAAAGAAGGGACAAAGAGCTGATGCAGAGGGCCAAATTCTTCACTGAGATGCATAGTATAGAGGTGTGGACGGATACAGGAGCAGAAACTTTCTTAAGGCAGGAAATTTGAGAACATCCATGCCTGATTGCCTCTAAATGTATTCATTTATTCATTCACTCATTAAAAATTATTCAGTCCTTACTATATAAAGACATCAGGTGCACAGACATCAGTCTTGGTAACCCATTTTCCAACCCTCACTAACATTCCACAAATTATGTAATACAGTAGTTGAGACATCAGTTTTAGGGTCAGGTAGAGTGTAATGGCTTCACCTACTTACTATGCCAAGGAAACTGAGAAATCCCACTTCACAGGCCAACTGTGTCACGTGGAAATCTCAGATTCCTGTCCTTGTTTAGTTTTGACACCAGCCACTCATGCAAGATTCTCACTCTGACTAGCCACCTGGGGCTACGCCAGACTTCATAAGTTAAAAGAACACCGTTCTTCACATGGACAAGAGGTAGATACCAGCTGCAAGTTTGGAAGTCTGAACAACTCCCAACTACTGATTTGCTGGCTAAAACTCTGGACGTACCCTCTAACTTCCTGAGAATACTAGCCACAAGATCGTGGGTACCCAGCCCCCATACCGTTGAACTTCCTTTCAGTTCAATAATTTACTTGGATGACTCAAATATTACGAAAAGGTCAGGCTTATGATAATAACACAAAAGGATGCAAATGAAGACATGCATAGCAAAAGCTCTGGGAGAGTCCTAGTGCAGAGCTGCCACGTCCCCAGCACTTGCCACCCTCCAGATGGATAGATGTTTCTCACCATCTGTGAAGCTCCCTTAAGGCTCCGACATTGGTGCTTTTATTGGCCAGTCCTGTCTGAAAGCTAAATTATGCCTCAACAGGTTAGCATCAGGCCACCAGGTGGTACTCTGATCCTACCTGCCCTCACTCATCAGCCTCACAAGCAGTCCAACTCTCAGGAACCTCGAGCAAAGGCAAAATTGCTTTCTACAAGGTGGTTCATCATCCCCCAGTTAGTTCTGAAACTACTTTATATGTATTCTAAGATTGAGCAAATACTGTGCATAATGAAATGCAGCATTATTACTATTAGAAAAAAGAGTAACAAAGGAAAAAGATTAAATTGAACCCAGTGATGTTGGACTCGAATCAGAGATATGCGTACAACCTTGTAATTTTTGAAATGTATAAAGATACACATGGAAATAAGCATAAATATGTCTTATGAGTATACTCACACACATATATTTCCTAGCTCTTTCAACTCTGACGGCCCAGTAGTAATAAGCATACCAAATGCCCAAATTTTTGCTTCTAAGCCTCTATTTCTAATAAAAGGAACCAGTATTTCTTGGAGAAAAGTCTGATCCCAGGGTTTGGGCAGGAGAGGATAGGATGAGCCTCGAGAACACCAAAGACACAAGGAAAAAGGTTAACCCAAGAAACTACAGGGCTGCATAAACCAGAGACTCCATTAGCCTGAAACTAGAACTAGATGGTACCTGGATAACACCAATGACCACCCTGACAGAGAACACAAGAGAGTCCCTCATGGAGAAGTGTGGCACAGAACTCAAATTCTAGTAGAAGACCAGACTTAATGATCTGAGACTAGAGGAACCCCAGAAGACATGACCCCCAGACTCTGTTAAACCAGAACTAAAACCACTCCTGAAGCCAACCCTTCAAAGATTAGACGGGACTATAAAACAAAACAATACTCATGAATAGTATGCTTCTTAGTTCAAGTAGATACACAAAACTAAATGGGCAGCTCCTGTCCGGGGGCAAGATGAAACGGCAGAAATGGATAGGAGCTGGTTGAATGGACACAGTAAACATGGGATGAAAGAGGGAATGTGCTGTCACATTATAAGGATTGCAACTAGGGTCACATATATGCATATATTTTTGTATGAGAAATCAACTTTAACTGTATAAACTTTCACCTAAAGCAGAATTTAAAAAAAGGTTAGTCTTGAAAACTGGCAGAAAGTAATCTACAAATAATAGGGACATGTAGAAAAAAATACAGAAACCCACTTAAGGGAGCTCCACATAACAAAACTTGGGACAATTTCAGCAAGAAAAGAAATACGGATTAGCCTATACAGGCAGTCCTGGAGTTATGAACTTATGTACATACAGTCAATCTGTATTCATGAACTAAACCCCGTAAAACCTATTAAAAATTAGGAATCCCTCCTGCAGGAATTCAAACCACGCAGCCTTTTCTCAGTGGTCACATGGTGGCTGCCACTTGGTCTCAAAGCTTGGAGCCAGGTAGAAGATGACACCCCCAGCAACATCACGTGAGGAGCTACACATGGGCAGGGTCCATGCTCAGTGCTTACCTATCCTCCCTACTGTCCCACCTCATGGTGATGGTATGCATGCACCATGCCAATGCAGGTGGTAGTCCCGCCTCCCCACGTTGGGGGTGAGGGCATAGCAAGAGAAAATCCAATGAAGCCACAAAGATTCCTATTAACAAATGAGTTACTTTAAAACAACAGAATGTTATTACTGTGTTAATGTTATTTTAGCGTACCTAGAAGTGTCCTCTTTAATGACTTTTATGAATAGAAAGGCATGCTATACACTACATACTAACAAATATTTGACTGAGCTTAAATATGAACTGTACCTAACTCTTCTAACTTATGTACAAATTCGACTAAAACACAAGCGTACGAAAGGAACTCATTTGTAATTCGGGGCTGTACTGCTCTAAACAATTTAATAACAGGAAGAGAAAGGAAAGCCATTTCTTCCACGATTCTAATAAACATAGAAGAAATGACTGGGTCAAAAAACACCATGTTGTAAACACCACAGAATTACCAATACATACTAAAAGTTGGTCACGGTATTGTAAAAAAATATAGTCTCAAAGCATCGCCCTATGAGAAATTACTAATCATAAATGCCAAAATAGTTACACTTAAAATAGAAAATAGGGGAAGGAAACATGATCAATGTGAAAATAAAATATACAACATATACAAAGCAAATGTATTTAATTGTATACAAAATAGCATCAATAAAAACAGTAAAAAACAAAACAACATTTACTCAAGGCTGTTCCTTGCAGGCTTATTTGTAATAACCAAAGACTTTCAGAAAAGTAAAGTTCAGCTTGTACTAAGAAAGTAACAAACAACGATGAGGACACGCAAATACAATAAAACTGGCATTTCTCCCAAAGGCACAAAGTGACTATAATGACTCATTCTTTTAGTATTGCTTTCTTACAGAGAAACTTTGTTCTTAATTGCAAACTTTCGAAAATTAGCTCTTTGAAATTACAGCAATAGGGATGAATCATCCCACTTTTGACAATCTCTCCACTGTGAGTTCTTATATATGAAGGTGTGAGAAACGACTAAAAGTTTTCCCACATTCCTTAAACTCGTAAGGCCTCTCCACTGTGAGTTCTTCTATGTATAGTAAGGTGTGATGAATGCCTAAAAGTCTTCCCACATTCCATACATTCATAAGGCCTCTCTCCGCTGTGAATTCGCATATGTGAAGTGAGGTGTGAGACTTGCCTAAAGACTTTTCCACAGTTTTTACATTCAAAAGGCATCTCTCCACTGTGAGTTCTTTTATGCGTAGTGAGGCCAGATGAATAACTAAAGACTTTCCCACATTCTTTACATGCATAAGGCTTCTCTCCACTATGAGATTTTATATGTGAAGCAAGGTTTGAGGAATACCTAAAGGATTTCCCACATTCCTTACATTTATAAGGTCTTATTCCACTGTGAGTTCTTGTATGTAGAGTGAGGGATGAAGAACAACTAAAGGCTTTCCCACATTCCTTACATTCATAAGGCTTCTGTCCATTGTGAGTTTTTATATGTATAGTGAGGTGTGGTGACTGACTGAAAGCTTTCCCACACACCTTACATTTATAAGGCCTCTCTCCACTGTGAATTCTTCTATGTGTACGGAGGTCTGAGGCTTGCCTAAAGAATTTCCCACATTCTTTACATTCATAAGGCTTCTCGCCACTGTGAGTTCTTATATGTACAATGAGGGATGAAGAACGACTGAAAGCTTTCCCACATTCCTTACATTTGTAAGGTTTCTCTCCACTGTGAGTTCTTTTATGTGCAGCAAGGGCTGACGAATAACGAAATACTCTCCCACATTCCTTACATTCATAAGGCCTCTCCCCACTGTGAGTTCTTATATGTTGAGTGAGATGAGAGGAACAAGTAAAGGCTTTTTCACATTGTTTACATTTATACGGTTTCTCTCCACTGTGAGTTCTTATATGTTGAGTGAGGGATGAGGAAAAACTAAAGGCTTTCCCACATTCTTTACATTCATAAGGCCTCTGCCCATTATGAGTTTTTCTATGTGTAGTGAGGTGTGATGACTGACTGAAGGCCTTCCCACATTCCTTGCATTCATATGGCCTCTCTCCACTGTGAGTTCTTGTATGTGTAGTGAGGTATGAGGAAGAACTAAAGGCCTTCCCACATTCCTTACATGCATATGGTCTCTCTCCAGTGTGAGTTCTTATATGTTTAGTGAAGTCTGAGGTCCGACTAAAGGCTTTCCCACAATCCTTACATTCATAAGCCCTCTCTTCACAGTGAGTTCTTACATGTTGAGTGAGTGATGTGGCATCACTAAAGGCTTTCCCACATTCTTTACATTCATAAGGCTTACCTCTGTCATGAGATTTTTTATGTAAAATAACAGATGAAGGACGGCTATAGGTTTTACAACATTCTCTACTTTCCTGATTACTTCTCACGTGTGTCCAAAAGGATGAGAATCTATACAAATCTTTCCCACATTCCTTACATTCATAGCGTTTCTCACCAGTGAGCGTTGTCACAGGATTCTTAAGGGTTGAGACAGAAATGACATCCTTCTCACATACCTTGCGTTTATGGGGTTTCTTTCTAATAAGAGTTCTCAAAGGAGTGCGTAGGTGAGAGGGACAACTGCAAACTTTTCCGTGTTCCTTACACTGACAGGGGTTGCATCTGGTGTGAGGTCTGGTCTGATAGTTATGTGATGAATGGTCCTTGAAAACTTTTCCACACTCACAGCATTCAAAAGGATTTTCTTCTGCAGGATTTCTTTTCATCACAGTCAGATTTGGAGTCTGGCAGCTTTTCCCACACTGATTGTCTTCATTACTTTCACAGAGGTTCTCTACTGTAGGACTTCTGTTAAAAATAGGCATCATACTATTGAAAATAAAATTTGTTCCCATTTCACCATTACCAAACACAGTAAGCGTGCACAGTTTCTGCCGAGTTGTCTATTTCATAGGTTAAATCATCTAGAAGAAATACTACCATAACTGTCACTGTTTTTCAAAAACACAAGGCCTTCTGATAATTGTGTCTAAGATATATTTCAAAAACAGGTGACTCATATTTATGAAAGTGTATTGTGAAAACATTCTGAACGCATAATTTTACAGCTGGGTTTATATATATAAACACAAACACCCACTTGCTTATAGACATGATTAAGTTTCAAAGTCTAGGAAGTTATGTGAAAACTGGCATTATGCTACAAAGAATGACCACACAGATCACAAAATGGATACCTGTATCATTAAATAACTGTCAAACCACTGAGATTTATGTCCTAGCCAAGTTAACACATTACCTAAACCACCACAGCAGGCATTAGTCTTGCCTGGCATCTCGGCATTTATTACTGACAGACATGCATTCTTAATCCGCGAAATACATCGTAGATTTTTTTTTCCTATCACCCATAAATGTGAAATATTTGATATAAGACAGAAAGTGAGGAGTTGGGGTATATGTATACATATTTATATATATCAGCGTATAACAGGGCTTAGAACAGGTTCGTAAAGTTCAACATAAACAAGGACAGTGTACATGGTGCATAGCAACCAAATCTGCTGCTCATCAGATTTTGACCCGAATAAAAAAAGTGGTGTCCCACTGCACTGAATGTGTCTAGTTCTCCACAGTCTTGCCAACAATCCAATTTTCCGCATAGATCCTGAAAGATTCAGGAGACTTATGAAGATTGGATTATTGACAGGACTGTGAAGAGTGACACGTATTCAAGATGCGGTGATCAGATGCTAACTTTGAGCAGAGCACTGCTAATCGTTTCCTCCTCAGGTCAAAATCCGATACAGAACAGATTAGGTTGCTATGAAATGCATACACTGCTCTCGTGTAAGTTGGCAATTACTGAACTGTCACGAAGCAGTCCAAAACCTTGGTGTATATGTGTGTGTGTCTACATATATATATATTTAAATGTCATGACACCTCAAGACTTATTACTAAGGCATTGTATACTTTTGTTTGAACGATACTCACCTCATATGTCTCCCCTGGCTTTTATGCTGATCTTTATTGCCATGCAATTGGTCGCAGACTTCTCCTAACATGGACGACCAGGTGTTATTCTTCATGAGTTGCACCACTATATGTTCACTGGATAACTTTTCTTCATCATTAAACTTTAGAGAGACTGACCCAATATTTCAAGTCAATATTCACAATATGAAAGAAAACAGAAAGGAATTATCAAGGGAAAAAAAGGCTGCTACGACCAAAGAAAGACTTAACACACATTTTCCCATTTTAGCACTCTGACTATGGTTAAAAAGCAACTTACTGGGAAATACCGCCATAAGGATTTAGAGTGATGGTGACATGAATAAGTGTAATTAGGAGAGCTAAATAGAAAGATATTGGAAACAATACACATGTAACACAAAAAGAGAAAAAGGGTCTCTGACCACAGGCGTGAGAGGATTGCTGAAAGTCAGAAAAGCTCCAGTATCTGGGAAGTTGTGTCCTCAACCCAAAAGAGACTTTTTCTAGCTGAATAGTTCAACTGTTATTCCCTCCATGCAGGACTGGTCCTTCAAAAAATTCTGGCTTTCCTGGTGCTTCCCAAAACAGTGGCCCTGAATAAGTCCTCTCCACAGTGCTCAGATCTTTCCTGTGACAGAGTGCTCATGGAGAAATGCATATCATGAGGGAGAACAGTGAAGAACAACGAACATTTCCTTGACACTGATGGACAGGTATGAATTTATAAACAGCAAAATATTCATGTTAAACTTGCAATAAACACAATAAAACTCTCTACAAGGTCCCAAACCACAAATCTCTCAGTGCCCCCAAGTGACCCGTGAAGCCAATACTTACATTTACAACACTAAAAGAGCCTCAGCACTTTTAATCACAAACGAAATGAATACTTACTTTAACACAGAGTTTTACATTCATGGGGAAGCCAGGATAAGTTAGCGCTATAGACCAAAGGATCATGCCTGTTTTACTTAGCAATTTATTCCTCTTCTTCAGCCCAAATACTGGTCCAAAGTTGGGTACAATATTTTTATTCACTAAAAGAATAAATTTAGAAAAAAAACCATGCCATTCTTACCTACTGAAGCCAGATTTCTGAAGGTTTCCATCATCACATCTCTGTAGAGCTTCCTCTGAGCAACATCCAGCAAAGCCCATTCTTCCTGGCTAAAGACCACAGCCACATCCTCAGCCATCACTGAGTCCTAAAACATCCCACACATTCTGGATTAGCAAGGTACCATGTACTCTGATGTGTACAAGAACAAACGGTGAGGACGACAGTCCTGGGAAACTGAGAATTCATAGGGATTGGACACAAGGTTCTGTGTTCTACCAAGGTCTACTCTAGCGTATAGCCACAAGCCTCGTCCGTTCACTAACTATATTCATTTCCTCAGTGATTACATCCTGTCTCACAGATTTCCAACACACTGAAATAATCTCTCCATAGTTTCACTATAATCAATTGCAGTCATATTATTCTTTTTATGGTCTAGAACAGTTAGAAAACATAGAAAAATTAGACAAATACTCTGAGATCATTTCCATGTGAACAATTACACTTCCTTCCAAATCTTTCCCACATTCCTTACATTCATAGCGTTTCTCACCAGTGAGTGTTGTCACAGGATTCTTAAGGGTTGAGACAGAAATGACATCCTTCTCACGTACCTTGCATTTACGGGGTTTCTTTCTACTAAGAGTTCTCAAAGGAGTGCGCAGGTGAGAGGGACAACTGCAAGCTTTTCTGTGTTCCTTACACTGACAGGGGTTGCATCTGGTGTGAGGTCTGCTCTGATAGTTATGTGAACCAGAACACTCAACAAAACAAAGCACAGAGTGAATGCAGGATGAGTTACTAACAACTGGGAAATACCACAGAATGGCATTTTTTCCATTTGCCGCTCACAGCTATGACAGGAACAAGGTCCTGTACAAACTGGTAATCGAAGGTCCTGAATTGGTCATATTTCTTGAATCCTAGATCAAGAAATGACAGGTCCATTGGCTGAATAAAAAGAATATTCTTTTGCAGAATTATGAATTTTTACGTCAGTCGCCTATTTTTCAAAAACTCATGACACCCTCTCTGTTTCATACAGATGAGCAAAGGAAATAAAGGATAAAAAGAGCTCAGGTAAGACAGGAAACATGAGAATCCAAATCTCCCCATAATTCTCAAATTTTGAGACCTGATTCAACTACACCAATTATTAGTGACTGCCCCCTCAACAAATATAAATTCACACAACCTCACATAAACAGTCTAATATTATAAAACGACAAAAAACACTACCTCTGCAGAAACAAGAACAGTATACCCTTGTGTTTATTCAGCGAGAAGCTGTTATGATTCCCATTTTGTAAAGATGGAACGTAATAAATTTAATCAGCGTGACCTAATCATATACGTAACCATTGTGCAACTGGCTGTTTTACTATATATAATTTTTACTAAAAAAACTAGCACTTAAGTTGAAGTGCTGACGGTTTACCTGTTAAATTGCCCGTGAAGTCCAGGAAACAGAGATTTACACTCCAACCATCTAGAGACTCCACGCCAGCATTCTCTCACATTTGCAGCCCTTGGAAGGCACACAACCATGACTATCTGAACACTGACCACTGGAATCTCCTGGTCTGTTAAGAGTGACCTCTGTGAAACAGTACTAATCCATTGGCTTCCTCATGGAGGAGAGAAAAGGCTGCTAAATGATACTTTGGGTGCTAAAACAAAGCAACTTTAGAGTTAGAAGACTCCTCTTGTCAGGGAAGTGGTGAAGTGAGCTGCCTAGGTCCTCTCTAATCAATCCTGGTATGATGGGTCATAACAAACTTTCAGCCAGAGCCAAAATCCAGAAGTCTCCTCCACAGCAGTGGGCCAGGTTACATACTTTAAAATCATCAAAACTCTAAAGCTCATTCTGTAATAATGATAAAAATGCTTCCTGTACTGAGCAACTATGATTTGTGAAAGGTTTTGCAAACAGTTTTCAACACGCTAGCTCGTTTTTATCTGATGACTCTCCTAAGCAGGTATCATTTCAAACAATTCATCGCTGAGTAAAGTAAGAGACAATCACATGCTCTATGATGCCCACAGAGCCCTTTGCTTTTTATACTTTTATCACCTATGGCAAAGCCCTGGCGGTGCAGTGGTTAAGAGCTTGGCTGCTAACCCAAAGTTCTGCAGCTCAAATCCTCAGCTGCTCCGTGAAAACCCTACTGGTCAGTTCTACTCTGTCTTACAGGATCGCTATGAGTCCGAATGGACTCATAGGCAACAGGTTTTAAACGCGAACTTACGTATGGAAAATGCAGCACGCTAACGGGATAAGCAGCAACTAACAGAAGCATTATTTAGTAAGTTACCACAAGGAGCTACAAAATTATTTTACAAAACATTAGCTAGTGAAACCTGGGTTGGTAAGGGAAAAAAAGATTGCACCTTCAATTCTAAAATATTGGAAGCAGACTATGATTTTGCGAACACTCATACACATTTCACATGCTCATCGCCTTCAACAAATCCCAAGAAGCACAAGAATCAAAGGGCTCCACTAGCCTTCATGACCAGAAAAGATACATTTCTTATACCCAGAAAAAATCATTATCGGTACTAAAAACAGGTTAATTTGGTCAACTGAAAAAAGCAACTTAAGTGAATACTATAAAGTAATATGAAAATAAAGACCACAGTAATGACACAAAACTCAAACGAAGACCTCCAGTGTCTTATTCAATATAGAAAGAGTTTGTAAGTCGTCACTCCCATCCTCCCAAGATAAAATCTGAACATACGGAACTCAGAAAATTGGGGTCACAGGGCATACTGCTGCCCAAAACTGGAGGGACACAAAAGCAGCTACAGAGAATCACGCCAGAACAAAAACCTAAGAACTGAAACCACCTCTAGGATCAGTATTAGCATAGAAAAACTCAAAAATGCAACTGATGAATTGCTGGAGGCTTGATATGGACAAACTTTAGGGATGAAAATGCCAGAAGGCCCAATCTCAGGGGGACCCAGAGAGTTTTGTGAATTTTATTTATAGGAACCCTATCAGATCCTCAGTGTGACCATCAGAGAAAAATCTCTTTGTGCTTTCAAATGTAGCCATTTCAAAAAATTCCCAGAGGATTCTGTTTTCCCTGACAAGGCTTGCCCTCAAGAGAACCTATTTTACCAGAGTCTACCTGACCTGCAGTAATGTAATACCCAACAGTAATGAAATACCCCGTCTAGGCTTCCTGCCTCATCAAAGTGGGTGAGGGGAGGAGAAGCTCTTGCAGGGTCACTGCCCAGGGCACAGCCTCACTAAGATTGAGACTTAATCACTGGACTATCTCAGGCTTCCCTTTTGTGCCCTCCTTACCACTCCACCCACAGGGCTCTTATAAATGAACGGGATTACAACAGAAAGAACTCCAAATCTCAGATCTGGTTTAAGAAGTATCTAGGAAACCCAAATAAAACAGGGACAAAAAAAGCAAGAACATCAGAGCAACTGACAATTACAGCAAACAGTAAACACAGTCTAACGTCTAGCCAGAGAAAAAAACCTCATACTAAAGGCCTATTTTGTTTTACTTAGCAAATAATCTCTGGCTTTCAACAAAATCCACCAGTCATACTAAAGACAAAAGCACAGCATAAAAGGACAATAGAAGCATCAAACTCAGTCTAAGATACACCATAGACTTTGGAATTATCAAAACAGAAATTCTATATTAAATAATGAGCTACATGCGCTAATACAATATACAACATGTAACACACGGATAAAGTAAGCAAAGAGATGAAAAGCATAACAAAGAAACCAAAGCAAATGCTAGAAATCAGAAGCACAGTAACAGCAAGGAACAATGCCTTTAACAAGTTCATCAAATGACAAAACAAAGCCAAAGAATCTGTGCGCTTTAAAATGTCAATAGCAACACTCAAAACAGAAATGCGAAGAGAAAAAAGAATGAAAAATATAGAACAGAATACCCAAGAACTGTGGGGCAATTACGAAAGGTAGGCCATCCACGTATTGAGAATACCAGAAAGGAAAGACAGTACAAACGAAATGAATAAATCGTTGACGGGATAATGACCGAGGAATTTAGAGAATTAATGATGCACACCAAACCAGATTCAGGAATCTCAGGGAACACCAAGCAGGATAAATACCAAAAAATTACATTTAGTAATATCATATTTGAACTGTACAAAATCAAAGAGAAAATAATGAAAAAAGCCCAGTCAAGGATATGGTACAACTGGAACCATCATTCATTGCTAGTGAGAACGCAAAATGGTACAGCCACCATGGAAAAGTTTGGCAGTTCATCAAAAATTCACAACAGAAGTACAATATAACCAGCAATTCCACTCCTCGACAAATACACAAAAGAACAGGGAAAAAAATCAAACAAAAATATATATACCAATATTCATTGCTGCACTATTCACCAAGCCAAAACATGGAAACAAATGCCCATCAACAAATAAATGGATAAACAAAATATAGTCTATCTATAGAATACAATATTGCTTAGCTATAAAAAAAATCCCTGACAGATGCTAGAATATGGACGAACTTTGAAAACATTATGCTGAGTGAAATAAATCAGTCACAAAAAGACAAATACTGCATGATCCCATTTCTATGAAATAGGCAAATGTGTAATGACCACACTTACTAGTGGTTACCAGGGATAGAAAAGGAGGAGAAAGCGGAGTTGCCTGCATAAGGGGCACTGAGTTTCTGTTACTGGTGGTGGAAAAAACTGGGAAAAGATAGTGATAATAGCTGCACAACAGATAAAAGTAACCAAGGTCGCTACATTACTTTTGTTGCTTAAGTTGCCATTGAATAGATTATGACTCATGGTGACCCCCTGTGTGCATGGTAGAATTGCTCCATAGGGTTTTCAAGGCTGTGATTGTTTGGAATCAGATCCCCAGGCCTGTCTTCAGAGGAGCCTCTAAGTGGATTCGAAATGCCAACCTTTCAAGTAGAAGTCAAGTGCTTAACTGTTTTCAACACCCATTATACATACAAAAATTGAATAGAATGTTTTGTTATATACACTTTCATAACAATTAAAAAGAAGTTTAGAAAAAGCGAAGTAGAAATAAGCGTGTTTCCAGACATATGGAGGAAAGTCGTCACGAGTAGAACTTTTTTTCAAGAAATGGTAAAAGAAGTTCTTC